AGACGATTCAAGAATGATGCGGATAGCCAATCCAGCAGATCGACCGGGACTAGGGGTGGATGATCCCCACCAATCCGTTGTTTTTAAATGGTGGATTGGACTATAGATTGAGGTACTGAGATCTTTGGATGAAAAAATTGCACGAAATTTCTACAAAGTAAAATTTTGGTTTCTACAGAGTCGCTGTAGTTTCCTCACAAAACATTGAGTTTTTGAGTCCACACCGTTTCATTCAATTAGATTATTGACATGTCGAGATTGGTGTATTGCATCGCCTCTCCCAACCGGTGTGTCGTCCTCTGGGTTAGAACCACATTTTTTACTTCCATGTGCTTCATGAAGCATTTATCGTCATCCTTAGGAATATAAACTGAAAAAACATGTATATTTGTGCGCCCAAACCCCCATCCACCGTTCCTCATTGAGAGCGAATGGTGAAGATGATCCTCGTCTCTGGAGGTGAGATCATCTCCCATGACCATCCCCCATCAGGATGAGAGCATTAGCACTGGAAATACACACAACACGTGTATAGTATAGTTTCACCTTAGAAATAATGACAAATGATGACTAGCTAAAATGAGGAAATGGTGGTACTAGGTACTCTTGTCTAACATACACCATCTGTAATATAAGATTATAGTACCAGCCAGTAGATATGAGTAACTGATGATCCAATTTCCGAATAAGCATGGACAATGCATGGATATAAGTCCCCAATTATACTACATAGAACCAAGCACACCATGAAATGATGGCTTGTTACCACAATTTTGATATGAAGGCACCCAAAAATTTTCCACACACTCAGAATTAGAGATGAACACCCAGAAAAAAAAATTCAAACACCCTCGGAACAATTAATCATACGTTTGATTTCAAATCCTACTAAATGAACACTCAAGATCTGATATTAGCTCTATTGTACAAAAGTACAAATCTTACATCAGAATTGCATTGAACTCCACGGACACCAAATCCATTATCCACGAATGTGTTGGGGAGTGGGAGAATGTATTGTAGTTTCTTCGATGAGCATAACCCATACCATTCCCCTTCCCCTTCCCCTCCCCCTTTGCTCCAGCCTTGTGAACAAATGCAATAGGAGGGAATGGGAATAGGTGGTCCCATGGGTCTAATTTGCTCAATTAGATCCACAGGCCAAACAAGTGCCATTCGAGGCCCTGAAATCCTATTTATTTATGTAACGCACATTTTAACAAAAATCAGAACTAGGCAACCTGGACCACGAGCACAATATTAGATTCTCTGTCCAACGAATATAAAGAGACTAAACAAAGATTGTTTCCGAAGTTTTCGGTCACAGAATATTTTAAAGATGGCCCAGGAATAAAACTCTGTACATTTGGACCTATGGGACCACAATATGTGCACCCTTGTATAATAATTACATGAATTGTATGTGCAGCTATTTTAATCGCAGTACAAATCAACAAAAATTGACAGATATTCAGGGATAACCCATATTAAAAATTCTCAAGTTCTTTATGTCATGCCCAAATGTTACAATGCTTTGTTAAATGCTAGAGGCATACTTAATTGTCAGTTTGTGAAAGCCATACACAATAGAGAATGGGTGTTTGCCCAGAATCACCCCATTATGGAGTAGCAGGGGTTAAAGCATATTGCTGGCCTATAAAAACCCAAGACAACTTAAAATACAAAAAACTGATCTGATACATGCTTTCAGCCCGTTCAACTGGCAGGCAGATTACACCACAAGGTGAGCCAAACTGCTTGGCCATCTAACCTCATTCCCCTCATCGACACAAATGAATTTCCTTTGCATGCACAACCAAGAGATTTGGCACTTCCCATTATTCTTTTTAACTTAAAAAACATGTACAAGAAATGCAGGCCAATCTTAGACTCCGAAGAGAGAGTGAACACTCTCTCCAATATGCTATCTTCCTCATTTTGGCTGTGCACAGATACTTCATCATCACATGAGGGGGGTCATCTTTGAACAGAGAATTAACTGGTGAGGGATAGATGGTACACCTTAAAAATTGTCAGTTGACTTTGTGGCATCTTGTAAGGGCAGCGACTCCTCATTGGCAATCTCTTGATCAGCAATCTCAATTTCCACAGGCTTATAACTTCCAAGAGCTTTCTGTTTATGTCTTCTCCAAATATACCATGTCACGAGCACCGAAAAAGTAAGGGTTGCAGCCAGAACTCCCACCACCAAAAATACCAAAAAATGTTGCCAATGCCACCATGTCCTACATCAGATCAGAATAATCCAGAATGTTGAGCCATAAGAATATTGATAGGATGAATCCTTTATTTATCCATGTGCAGGTAAGATGAACTCGTACACAATGAGTCAACAGATAACTAAGGAAAAGCATCACAAATCCACAAACTTGGAGAACGAAAGGCAAGAGTCAAATAGGAAAAGGAGAACAAATCGATAATAACTAGAAGGACCTGGCAAAAGACGAGTAGATGTGTTACAGATCATGCCAGTGATGATGCATGAACATAAAGAGATATATCTGCAAAGTTATGTAATTTCTTAATACATCATGAAACCCATGGAATTGACCCCCTTTTTTTATAATTATCGGTGTCATCAATTTTTAAGCTGAATACTTCTAAATATCCCGGACTTTACATCTACTCAAAACAAGGTCATGCCGTATGCCCTGAAAAAAACCCAAGGTAATGCCATATAGCCTGAGAAACCCATAAGGACCTCAAAAGAAAGTGAATTTGTTGTTCACAAATTTATTGTTGGTTCACTATATCCCTATAATTGTACACAATACATCCTGCGTCCATGCATGGCTAGTCAGAAACACATGCACATGATAGCAGAAATTTTTTACAGATCTATAACTACATAAGTTTACCCATTTTCTTAGTCATTTTTCCAAGAAAAGTTGGCAGAATACATAATTAAGTCAAAGATGAATGAGAATCAAACAGGCAAAGAACCTCAAAACAAGGAGTCATAACAAGAATACCTCAAACTGTAAATATCACCCCTTATGAAAGAGCCCAGCCCCTAAGAATTCTCCAATTTCTTGTGCAACTTTCTTCCCATCTTTGTAAGTATCTACTTATCTAATTTTATATATATATATATATATATATAG